AATCTCAGCAGTTGCATTGCTGATTATTCGTGTTTCTTTCTCCACATAAATGTCTAACAGTTCTATAGAGACGCACAATTAAAATATAGTTAATAATAGTTTTTTACTACTTGGATTCGGAGAGTGGTTCTCCCTCTCCAGTTGCCCTTTAAGAGGAAGAGAATACAAAAACAAATTTCATCCTACCCCCCTACGTTCCCTCATAGTTCCTATGGTAGCAGTTTCAGTTAACAGTCGGACTATCAATAATTCCATTCCTAGCGAGAGTGCACAGTTTGTTTTTCGTATTTCCTGTTTTTGGAAAGTCTAATAAACTATAGCCTCTGTGTTATTAAATTGTTATATAAAGAGATCGAACCATCTTTGTTCGAATCCAATGTATTCTCACCAAAAACTACCAAAATAATATAGTATTTTTAAATCTTATATGCTTACCGAGGGCAGCTTGAGTGCTTTAATCAAAACACAATTATAGAAAATCAAAAGAACACATTGTAAGATACTTTATTTAATTAACCATTTCTTATGATTTAAGACTTTACTATAACTTCTCATTTCCGTATTAATCACCAGAGTGCAAATTAGATATGTGTCTGTTTCAGCTGAGGGATTTGACTGCTTGTATTATGGCTTCGAGCAACCGTGTCTTCCTATTAATTATTCTTGTCAGCCCTACTTAAAGTGATATTCCGGCTTTAGTGGTTTGCTGGCCGATGTTTTAAAATACGCGCCGGTAATATTCTCAGCCAGCTTATTTTATTCTGTTCTATATGGAGTCTTACTGTACGTTTCTACGTTTAAATTTAACTTTTTTTATGTTAATTTAAATATCCGCAAATAGTGGAAGTTTCGTCTGTAGCACAAGTTGTGCCTGTTCTGTTCAAATTTAGATTAAATAAAAAAATCCTATTTTAATCTTCTTCAGTTATACGATTCCCCACTGTGTAATTCTAAGTTACAGTTGAAAGTGAAGAATCTTAAGAACTAGTAAGCGAATAATCGCTTGAGGTCGTATACCGGAAAGTAAGAAGGGTGAAATATCCCTTTATTATTCCAATTAAAGTTTAACAAAACTCCGTCTTGGAGTTGTACAATAAAGCCGACACTTGGGCTTGAACTTAAGAGACTAAGGATCAAACTAAACTAATCTTAACTAAAGAGATATAGCCGAAGAGCTATCAAAATTCTAACAGAGTTGGCTTCTTAACGCTAATTGACTGCGAAGCTATCAAGGGCCTAAAGTGCGGCCGAGCGTAATAATAGCTTACGAGAGAGTAGCTTAAAAAGGCGGACGCGTGCAGCCAGAATATCTGGTGTCTATCCCACTAAGACTGTAGAAATTTGCGGTTATAAAATACCGCTCTTCCTCATTAGCATTCAGGCGTTCTTCTAAAACTATGTTCTGGCCGGAAGTGGGATGTTGAAGTAAGAATCGATAGGAAAGGAAGTTTAACTCAAAATTTAACTGTTATTAAAATTAACATAATCCTTACATAGTACTTTTAGAGCTGTTTGAGGAATAGCGATAATTTGCTATTAGTCTAGTAGGATCTGCAGGACTTTGGCTTTTAGTTATAACAGAAACCCTGCAACATTATGCATTAAGAATATTTCTGTTTAAAAAATATTGCGATAGAAACAACATCAAGCAATATAACATCCAAATAGCCAATGTAAACTGTTTTTCCATGACACAGGTCTGAATAATTCTTTATAATTCCTTCTTTGAAAATACCATTGCATTTTAGTTAATGAACACGTCATACGTATTGGTTTCCTACATTAAAATAATATTCAAATTTGATCAATTATTTCCAGAATTATTTTATAAATTTTAATGAAATTCTGTAGGAATATTTTTGATATAATAAAACATATACCTTACAACAGTCAATATTCGCACTCATTATCGTGCGAAGACTCATCGGCACAAGAAAACCTAAAACAGAGGCTGCGATATCGAACGAAAAAGGAAACTATTAGGGGATACGTTCCTCTCTAAGAGCCATACAAGGCATACTAACAACGGAATTTCATGTTGGGAAATGAGGCAATTTATGAGCCCCTGTGGCTGTCAGTCACTCCTGCAAGAGCGCTGTTTTCAGATCCTATATGATTCTAGGAACGTAAAGGCGAGTTACAGTTACCCTCTCAAAACCGTCTTAGACATGTTTTATAAAATTCACATCTGGAGATCTAACTGGCCGAGAATTTCTTGTACGATTAGAGCAGGAGAACTAAAGTGATGAGTGAGAAATTAGTACGGTCCTGTCTGGTAAAAGTCAGAAGAAGAATAAATAAGAGGAAGAAGATTGGCCCAGTTATTTTACTATCTTGAACTTTCAGACTGAAAAAACAATTTTCAAACTCCTTATGGATATTATTTAGTATTCACATATTTCTTGATTTTTTTACTTTGCTTTGATTTGAGTAATATTCCTATTTTATATGAATACTTATTTTTTTTTTTTTTTTATCATTTGACTTAAAAATTATCTGTGTATTTCATGTGTTAATAATTTACGTAGCAAGAATATTTTGACAATTTCAGTTCACATACTGTATTGCTGCATACGAAATTATTTTAGGGAAGTAATAATTTTGTAAAACTCGTTTAATAGTATGAACTAAAAAATCCTAATAAATGTGTTTGCTCGCTTGTAGACAGCAATGACCACTAAAAGAATCCCTTTGATTTCGCAAATGTTCTTTCAGAAGCCATCAGTCTTTATGATTCTACTCCTTTTATATAAAAAGCCATTCTTTCATTTCTCTCAAAATTGCTTCAAAACTGAAACAATGCACAATATAAAGTTCCAGTTTTTTAATTAGAAAACTTACCATTTTCTTGAATCCGTATTTTTTTCCTACCAAGTATTAGCAACAAAGCGTCGGGAAGCTTATACTAAGAGCTGTTTCTGGTTGGGCTACTAAATTGGGTAAATGCAAAGAACTGGATCTTATAATTTAGTTCCATAAAAAGAACAATTTGTTTTAAGTAAAGAATTTAATCCGCTAACGTATAATTACGGATTCTTTCTCCAGTATAGAATGCAAACACAAACATGAAAGAAAGAGCACTGACATCTTTATTGATAATTTATCATTAGCCCCATCAAGGGCCCGAGCGGATAAAATACTGCGATATACTAGGTGATATACTAGTAGTTCGTGCTGGGCTTGATGCCTGGGGAACGGGATAGAGCTAGTCTGGCTTTCGTGATTTTCTCCAAGGTTACTGTACTACAAGATTTGCTCTTCCCAAACAGAAATTTTTGACGTCACTGGTTTTATGTACAGTCACTAGCTCATCGTCTACACCAAAGCCGTATCTTCGTTTCTCCCATTTTTGTAACAGTAATGTCACTAAACTCTAACGTTGAGAAAAGTCTAACATAGTTTATACTAACAGGATCCTAGCCTAGCTTCTTGGGTTTCCCCATGTGCAACGCAAAGATCGGCCAGTTTTCTTTAGGAAGTACTTTTCAAAGCACCCGCCCCTTAAGCAGATAGCTCTCGTGCTCTTTGCCATATTCAAAATAACTTATAATAAATTATCAAATTTTAATTACTCAGTAATGTTGCAAATAGTTATGTTGCTTTCAAAATAACTCTTATCTCAAACATTCTGCTAGAAACATGAACGTATTATCCGTATAAATTTTGGTATTACTGCCAATACGTAGAAGATGAATAGAAATTGGTTTCTAACTTTTTTTCATTATTTTTTTGGCTGATGACATGGTCATTTTTCTTAGGGTCGTACCTTCCATAACATAACCAACTCATAAGAAATCATTCGTCTTTTCTATGTCGTTAATGTACATTATTTGATGTTGGACGAGACCCAAAATCAATCCTGTGTCTTTTCAAATCGGGTGACCGTGATTTGAATGCTATACTTAATCAGCAAAACCTATTCCTAATCCTTTGAAGAGCAAGCTACACGCTTTCACTGGAAAGTGGCTAATACGAAAATAAAGAAAAAAAAGAAGCAACCTCATCTTTAAGTTATTGTTATTTTTATCATTTTTTTTCCTTTTATTACTGACTTCTTGTGATTATTTTTTTTAACTTTACCAGCTTCCTTGGACTTCGAGTATTGTACAAGTATTGAATGATTTTCCATATCCAAACAAGTATTAAACTTTTAAAAAATTTTTGTAATCACTGAGTATTCCTTGTCATTTTACTATTGTTCATAATACACGCATCATTATTAAGCTCTTGTTTATGTTGTATTTTAAATGTCACAATGCAGATGTATTTTTACGATCTTTCAGTAATGGATCCACTGCACAAAACAATATTGCATGCATAGATGCATATAAATAATGCTGAAGGGTAAAATTTTATTTTTAATTATTATTTTATTCCGTTCTATCTGAGAAATTCCACTATTGGGGAACGAATTGTCAAGTACAAGGTAAAGAATGAGAGCCTACTTGTTGCAGAGTCACAGGTTTTTCTTTTGAAGTAGGAGATGTGAAAAATGTGCAATGCTCTCGCCGGGACTCGAACCCTGGAACCTCTTTAAAACGTGTCGAGCATGCTTCCAATTACACCCCGAAGGCAAAAAATAACTCCTTTCCCGAAGGAAAGAGGGAGAAAATACCTTATGTATCTTCATATTAAAGGTGTGTGTATTTAATGTGGTGTGTATTTAATTATGGCAAAGCACACGAGGGCTATCTGCCTAAAGGGAGGGATGCCTTCGTGGAGGACTTTCTAAGGGAAACTGGCTCGTATACACGTTACACATGGGGAAAACCACGAAAACGCCCATGCAGCCAGCCCGTTCGCGGGATTCGAACCGAACTACCCAGTGTTCAGCGACTTTACCGCTCGGCCGCTGGTGGGCTCATATTAAAGGTGACTGAGGATTAGGAAACCCAATCACCAAATCCTGGTGGTGACAAATTCACCATCACCTTTTTAGTTCGTTCACTACTGCAGAGTCATTAGGTCATTGTGAAGCAGGAGATGGGAAAAATGTGCAGTGTCCTCGCCGGGACTCGAACCCTGGACCTCTCGAATATGCGTCGAGCATGCTTCCAATTGCTCCACGAAGGCATGCGGAAAGGAAGGAGAAAATATAGTAGTGGCTAAAATCATGAAACCTAAATAATTAGCCTCGGATTCTCTTTTTGGCGGTTGAACGACCTGACTGCTTAAATTCTAATCTTCTAGATATTATTTTGAAGATTTTCGTGACAAGATCATGATCAACCAGTCGAAAGCTTCAAAGGCAAGCAGGCTTCTTTACTTTCTATTACCTAGTCTATCCAAGAGAATCTCTGCCTGTATTTTATAAGGTGTTTCTCTTAAGAGTGCAGAAAAAGGATAACTGACTTAACCTAATCACAGGCCTTAGTTTTCTGAAGGAACCATTTTCCAGTAGACAGAACACCTTCTCGCTTTTTCTTTTTTGGATGACTACTCCTTGATAAGGGAAAGCATCAGTGTACATCGCATGCCCTTCTGATCGGTATATTCTGAGAAATGTAACTCCCCTTGATATTTCCTTGGGAAGGGCGAGATAATTTAAGTCACGATATATGCTATACTTAGTGGTGCAACTAGAATTCTGGAACGCTATGACTGGGCTCTACTGAATTACAAAGTTGAAAGGAAAAAAAACCCAAAAGCAACAAAATTCAAATATTCCAGTAATCAGTATTCTGAATAAGGACGTTTTTTGCTGGAATTGATTTAAAAACCATTAAGCATTAATAAGAGCGTACTGAAGCACCAAAATTGATGCCATGAGCACTAACCTTGGTAAATTTCAAAAGCAATCAGAACATATTCTTTTTGCTAGAAAAGTCGTGAAGTTGTAGAGACATTAGGATTTTTATGGAAGCAGGAGATGTGAAAAATGAGCAATGCACTCTCCGGGGCTCGAACCACGGACTCTGGAATACGCGTCGAGCGTGCTGACCACTACACCACGAAAGCATGCTAAGAAGGCGGGAGAAATACCTTATGAAGTAACCTTTTTTAGGTAGACAATATTTAAAAAAGAGTGGAGTTTGGAGATCTGAGGCTTCTGTCTATCTCGGTGCTTAGAGCATCAGATGGTCTTAATCTTATTGTGATTTGGGAGATCTTATTGTGATTTGGGAGATTTGGGGCGGCATACTTTGCATAGCTCTATTTAAGTCACAGGCTACGTCAAATTATTAGCTAGAAGAGTTACGACAGAAATTTGCGATGCAATCAACAATATAAGAACTGCACTCTACAGGTGCTTCTTAACGTGTTATTTAATGCAGAATTCTCTTAGACTTTTGACGTTCTATGAATGGAGCATACTTTGATATACGTTAAACCAATAAGGAATTTTTCTGCGTTTTCTTATCTGAAAAATTAAGATTGCGATCCTTTCAAGAGCAGTTCAATCATTATTTATAATTCCTTGAATGATTTGATTGATGATTTGTTGATTCTTTGACTTATTTAAGAATTTTTATGCTATAATTCTTTGACTGATTTGACTGATGATTATTTTATGATTTGTGTATCTTATAAATTGCATATGATATGATCTTATTTTTGTTATTTGCAAACATTATTCTTATTCTCCTCTATATCCTTAAGTCTTCACTTAGCGTTTCGATTTTACTGTTAATATATTCAAACACATGCTGCTTTGTTTCAAATTCAAGATCTCAAGAACGAATGATTCAAACAATAGCAAGAGAAATTAATTTCTCTTTATCTAAATATCACCTTATGAGTCATGAGTCAAATTTGCTTAATAGGCTGTAAATTAGGGTAGTTTTATTACCCTCCACGACATTTATATTGTTTCTTATCACTTGTTATATATTCCAAAACAAAACACAAAAAAGATGTCTTCTATTTGTTAAAAAGCACAATTAAAATAACAAGAAATTTTAAAGCAAAAATACAATAAAACCAGAATTTATTTTCATTTCAGAATTATCCATCGCTTAGTGAATTCTTAAGTGAATTCATAATTATCCATCGCTGTGGTTATTAGAACTGCTTATATGCGCTGAACCTCCATTCAAATATATTTTCTAAGAATATAAGTTCTTTAATAAGCACTATAAAAATGTAATAAAACGTGAATTATTCCACAAATTTGGGATACTACACTGAAACTTTTTTCCAATATCTAAAATTCTGAGAAACTTTTAAAATAGAAACGGCTATTTCTCAAAAATTTCTCCACTACTCATTGTTTTCTCTGTTAGACTATCATAAGCTGCTTCCATTAGGTTGAACGACTTTTTTAATAATATTGGCAAGATAAATTTGATGCCACATCTGTCTTGAAATAAAGTAAGCGCAATATACTTGTAGAGACATTAGGATTTTTTGGAAGCAGGCAAGATGAAAAATTAACAACGCCTTCGCCGGGAATCGAACCACGGACCTCTGGAATACCGGCCGAGCGTACAGACCACCACACTACGAAGGCACGCTAGGAAGGCGGGAGAAATACCTTATATACTTTTAAAAAAGTAACCAATTAATGTTGCACGGGGAGTTCAAAGTGAAAAACTATCAAAATATGAATAAAAGTAATAGGGGGACCGGAAAGTAATGTCGCTTTCTTACATTAAATTCACACGAATAAATTTTTAACACGTTTTTATTTTTAACCAATAATGTAGTCACCCTCGTTATCAACAACCTTTGCCATCTAGTGTGCAGATTTTCAATCCCCAGACCGATATAAATCAATTGGTTTTTGAGTAAAATATCTCAAGCTGGCATTTTGGACATCATTCAAATTTTCAAATTTTTCGGCACTAAGAAAATGTTGTAGGGATCGGAATAAATGGAAATTCGAGTGTACGATATCGGGCGAGTATGGTGGGGGATGCAGCACCTCCCATCCCAATTCATTCATTTTTTCCAGTGTCCGTCTTGCACAGTGCGGTCTTGCGTTGTCGTGTTGCAGAATGATGCCTTTTCTATTGACAATCGCCGGATATTTTTCGATTAAAGATTGGTTCACTTGATCCAATTGTTCACAATAAAGATCTGCATTAACAGTTTGTCCAGGTTCAAAATGAACAATTCCGCCAATGCTCCACCAAACACATAGAAGCGCCTGTTTGGGATGTAAACCCTTTGTAACCCCTATTAAAACTGCGTTTTGTATTATCATATAGGACCCATTTTTCGTCTCCAGTAATCAAATGATCAAAAATCGGTTCTATATGGTGCCGTTGAAGCAATACGTTGCATGTGATGGATAGGTTAGCTTTTTTCTCTTCGGACAGATTATGGGGGACTCAAACACCTGCTTTGCTTATTTTTTTATTCTGCTTTAAATGTTCTTGGATGGTCGACCAATGTTGGTTAAGAGTGTTTGACATGGGTTTGCTTCCACTTCTTCCCTTAGCAGAAACGACATTACTTTCCGGTCCCCCTATTAATTCAAACTTGAATAGAAATACTTAGTCTTTTAATCTAATAAGAGGGGAAAAAATGCCCATTTTTAAGATTAAAAAAATGTAAAATCATGCTTAAGCTCATGGTTCTTCAAATTATGTACTGGTAAATGAAATCATATACTAGAAACTGTTTACAGGTATATAAATTGAGTGGATTATTTAAATTTCCTAATAGTTATGTTTAATTTTGAAACCCTCTAGTTTATGCTTTCGTTTCTCACCTACAACTTCCTGCCAAAATGAGTTTTCAAGATCGCGTTTTATGTAAATAATGTAGAATCAGTATTTATAGGAAGTCTCGGTCACTTACTTCGAAGAGCTCAGTAGTTCTCAGTAGAATGTGTTCTGCCCTCTAACCACGTCGTTGTTTAAGCCATATAGTACTACGTTCGAACGTATTATTACGTGCCTGTTAGTATTCACCGGTGAGGTTTAAATAAAAGCCAACTCGGTTAGTTATTTCTGTACACCTTAGGCTAAGTTTTAGTTAGTTAAAATTAGTTTAGTTTCCTATTTTCTAACTTAAGTTCAAGCCCAAGTGGAGGCTTCCTGTAAGCCCGAGATGGGCCTGCTGTGAATATTTTTGAGTGGAAATAAAAGGGTATTTTAACCCATCTTTGGACTTATACTTGCCTTTTCAAGAAGCTAGCGAAATAATCGCTACACATTTCTCCAATTTCCAAGCACAATCAGTCTAACTAGAGTCTTATAAAATAAAATAATACTTTCACAACTGTGCCTATAATAATTCAGGTCGGAATCATTTTCTTTCAAGCACGTTATGAAAAAAGAAGTAAGAAATGTATTGAAATTATTTTTTGTGACTGACAAATATTTTATTAAATTTTGTAGCGGAATACTTCACGTAGCAAATTCAATTTCTAAATCGTTTTCTTAAAACTTTCTCAAACTTTAAGATAAGCAGATGGATTTTAAGACTCTTATGAAATATGAAAAGAAGGAAGACGAATAAAATAGCATGCGCAGTTTTTCAAAATTAAAAAGGTTTGTGATTAAATGATTCAGATAGCTTTTAGTGAAGTATTTCAGTGAGTAGTTTTAATGAATTGCAAAATATTTGAAGCTGATACATTTTTCGACAACACATAGAGAGTTTCTTAAAGTTCTTCTATCTTTTGGCGAGTGGGAAAAATATTATAAGGAAACTCTATTATATTAGCCACAGCGTTAATAAAAAAACCTGCGACAAAATATACTTTGCAATACTAAAATAAAAATGTCTATTTTATTTCCATTACGTATATTGATTAGATTCTAAATATCAAAATAATTCTGCACGTATACATTCAGCTTGCTTTAGTTCTTCTTAAAGCAAGTTAAAATATGCTGAGAAAGATTTAATGTTTTACTCAAAATTTCTGTTCCGGTGAGTATGTTGCGCCGAAATTTTTTATTTTAGCATCGTGTTATTTTAGTCTTCAAAAAAAATTACTTTGTAAACATATACATAAACATGCAAACTTGTGAACAGAATTTTGTTGCAATAAAGGAATAAACCTTTTGCTTTCATTTAAAGGGCTTTACTGGACATAGGATTTACAAATATAACGCAGATTTTTGTTGTTTGACTTCTAAATTAATACTTGTTCGGCGTGTTATTTTACCTTAATTATATTT